CTGCAATCCCTTCTCCTCCATTCTCCTGTCAGTATCTTGGGCATGCACGCACACACGCCTGGCGTGAATTTAAGTCACCGGGTCCAGGACTTGGACTACAGTTGACTACATGGGAATCCAGCGACATAGCCATTGCGCCAACTGCTGGTTCCTATATTTATTTTTTTAAAAATTGCTAGAGGACATGTGCATCTCCCAGAGAGAGAAAGGGTGAAAACACCAGCTGATTGGACGTGGTCATGGCACAGCCTCCTATTTATCATTTCTTCATCTCATTGAGACCGCAGGCATGCTTGCAAATACAGCTTTCTTGTCTTTCATGCTGCCGGGGAAGAGGTTCAAACTGTGGTCATCCATGTAAGATTCAACTCCCTTGACCATTAGGCGATAAGGCCAGCCCTCCTATTTTTTGTGTTATGTTTTAATTTCACAATCTAGTATATTAATTAACAGTTTTCCAGAGTCCACTCTTTAGAGAATTCTACAGAAAATAAAATTTCTATCACTAATACAAACACACACACACACACACACACACACACACACACACACTGTTTCTAATCAAAAGGATTCTAAATTATTCAGGACATAACAACATGATAAAAACAAATATGTGTGAGTATCTTACTATATTGATACACTCAAACTTTATACAATAGTATAAGACCCTCAGAATACTAACTTCACACACTTCTAACTTTATGTATTAAATAAATGATATATTATTATGATACTAGTACTAACTACAACTTAATATAACACAGTACAAGAACTATCCTACAAGTTTTATCTCTTTTAAGCTTCACCAAAATATCTCTATGAGATATCTTTATTTTGCACATTGAATATATATCACAGATAAGGTTAAGAGGGTTAAGGATATTGAGCAAGTTCCTAAGGGTAGAAAATGGCACTGTGGGGGCCAGCAGGTGGCATTGTTGTTAAGGTGGCTGGATTCCGTTGGAGTCTTGGACCTGGCAGCTTGCTTTCTCTCTTTCTTTCTCTTTCCTTCTCTCTCTCTCTCTTCAAGTTAAAATTAAATTAACTTAACTTAAATTAAAGACAATGAATATAATTTAAAAAAAAGAAAATTGCAGCAGTATTGATTTCTTAACAAGGTTTTGTTGTGTTTTGTATTTTGAATTCTTTTTTTTTTTTTTTGGAGAGGTTTTCACTACAGGGCGCGTGTGCTCACCAGACAGACAGAGAGATACAGAGAGACAGAAAGCGAGAAATCACCCCCCAGGGGAGATGGCAAAGCTGCAATCCCTTCTCCTCCATTTTCCTCTCGGGATCTTGGACACACACGCACATGCGCCCGGCGTGAGTTTTAAGCCACCGGGTCTGGGACGCGAACTGTGGTCGACTACGTGGGAGTCCAGCAACATAGCCATTACGCTAACTGCTGGTTCCCCTGTATTTTGAATTATTGATGGCCCACATGGCACACTTTCTGAATATACTACAGTCTAGTGTAGACTGTGACCTGTACAGAAATATGAGTTTCTGCTTATCTATCTACATATACTTTCCTACTCCTAGTATAAAAAAAAATCAGAATATTAAGACATATTTGAGAAAGTGCTGAAGTTCCTGAAAATTACTCATACTGAAATAACACATGCATATGCGTACATTAAAATGACACAGAATCTAAGGAAATAAAATGGAGCCTCTGTAATGGGCACAGACATAATCTCTACTATATATATATCTATTTTATTACCTGATTTTCTCTCCTTTTATCAATCTTAGTTTCCTGCTTGTCCATAAGTCTAGTAAATTTTTTAGATGCTGCACATTGTGAAGTAATATGGGATTATCTGTAATTTGTTGTACTGGTATGAGCAATGTCTAGGGGTTTTGTTCTTGCGTGTCTTCAAAATACTATGAATTTTCTCTTGCAAATAGCTAAGATACATTTAAATGATTTCAAAAAAGTGAAAATAATAAAATAATAGAATAGTTTTCACTCAATATTTTCTATATATTTTTTTCCCCATAAGGGTGCTTGTGCTCTCTGGAGAGAAGAGAGAGAGGGAACGAGAGAATCACCCCCATGGGTTATAGTCATGCCACAAGCCCTTCTCTTACATTCTTCTCTCGCGACTTTTGTATTAGTGGGACCTCTTCACGCTGTGTGCATTTCATACACCTGCCACAGGCAGCTTGAATGGTGGAAGTTCCATCCACTGCACATACTCAACTCAGAGTCTGAGATCATCAGCACCTTCACGCCTGGCACTTTCTGTACTTGCTACCCCTGGGGATGCCTCCTAATCTGCTGCTGAGGCACACTGTGTGGTTGCCACAAAGGATCAGACATTCCTGGTCCCTATTTCTGGTGGCCCTCTTCCCCAACAATGTTGCACCACCACATACACAGGCATAGTCTCAACCACATAGGCCCCTACATTAGACATAGATTTAATCTGAAGAAATATATGAACATTACACTACTGAACCCAATTGGAATAAAAGTTGAAACGCATCATCCACCTAATACAGTTGGGTGCATCTACAGGAAAGAATTCCAGTTCTCCCTACAAAAGCTACTTCATAAAACCAGAAGTGACTGTTCCATCAAATGCCCAGATATCAATGCAGAGATCCTCCCTGCCAATAGAGGGTATTTTGAAAAGTTCATCAAAAAATGACATTAGGCTACAAGTTTATTTCAGTGCAAAAAAATTGAAATCCATTCATAATTATTTCATAATATACTGATTTTAATGTACTTTTTGTGGAATAACTCGCTCTTCTAAGTAGTATAGAAATAGAAGATAGGACAGACTTTCATTTGGTATTTTTTAGTGTTTGAAAAAATAAAATGAAATAAAATCTGAAATCAAAAATTCTATAGGACTAGCATCTACCCCTAGCATGTATAAGACTCTAGGTTAAAAGTTGAGTGGAAGTTCATGTTCTTTATGGCTAAATATTTAAAGTTAGGGAAAAAAAACTATCAAACTGCTAAATGAACTATGTTTTACCCTCCTACTTTGACAATTATACCTTCACCAGACTTTTAAATATATGTGAAATTAAGTTTTTATATACCTAGAAGTTTACAAAATATCAGATACAGCTAAATACGTTATTATACGTGTAGTAAAGGTATATATAATTCATGAAAGAAAATTCAGATTAAAAAGAAAAAAAGTGCTCCAGTTGGCTATAACAGCACAACCAAAGGTTTAGGAAAACATAAGGCATCTACAGCAAAATTGTATCCGATATTCCATTCTCCTTCTCGTCAGCCTTCATCCTGTGGACCAGGAGAACACCCTCTTACCTATCAATAAAATCCACTTTCACTCTCATAATTGTCTTGTCTTTTCTTTTCCCTATCACATTTTACTCTCCCTTCCCCATTCACTATCGCCTCAAAGCACACATATTTTTGTTTCATAATTTCTGGCAAAGATTGCGATTTAAAATTTTTAATGATTCCCTTTGTGAATTGATTGTGAGTACCTGAATCCCTAAATCCCTAAACATCAAAATTTCCTAATGGTGGCCAGTGTAACCAGGGGTTTCCATCCTAATGTATTTATCATCTTAATTCTATAACGTCTAGGAGGGTTCTATAGTACTAGTGTGTCAGGCACCTGTGACTACAGGACCTATGAATCTGTACTCTGCAAACAGGTGTGTAGTTTGTCTTAACGTCTATTATTCTGAGCTTTTTTTTAAGCTCCCATCATCGTCTTCCTTTTGCAGGATCAATATTTAATGCTAATTGTGATGTTTATCAGTAGTATACTATTTTGCATATGTAATATTACATCAACTGTAAATCAAACTGCATTTACAAAAGGTTTTAGGAACATAGAGCTAGCTAAAGTTAACAGTGTTTTTCTTTTGGAGTTAGGAAGATTATTATTTTATGTCTTTCATATTTCCAAAATTCAGCAATAAGCATTTATTATTTTGGTAATGAGAAAAAAATTTAAACAAAAAAAAGTGAAATATGTCTTGCCAAACAAATTAATAGTTAAAATTTTGCTTTTAATAAAAATCACAGGTTATCTGATGTTTTACCTAGAACTATTATTACTCTTAAAACAAGTTTTAAGGGTTATAAATCAAGTGAAATTATTACCTGAAATTTAGGTTAACGGTAAATAAATAAGTTGTTGAAAAGAAAAAAATTTAAGTTTAGAATTTTATATAAAAATAATATGGTAAAACATGAAACCTGTAGATATGCACAACTATACAAATTTACAGAAAGTTTATTATAAAAAACAGTTTATTGTAGAAAATTAGAAGTATAAATAAGAAAATTCCAATTTAAAGTAAACTTTTATAAGTATTGTTTTTACATGTAGTCTAGTAGTTTCTTACATAATTTAACTTTTCTGTGTACATAGATTTTCATATTTTAAATATAGTTTAGTGTCCTTAATCCTCCTTTATTATGTAACCATTTTCTCAGGTTAACAAATCCTTTTCTAAACATATTTTAACCAAATAATATTTAAATTTGGGGGGCTTTACTTCACATAATTTCTTGACATTTTTCAATTGTTAGGGTTCATATAATTAATGCAATATTTGCATTTACATTAACTGCCTTAATTAAGGAAAATATCAATTTTATTATTTTAATTAAACATATTTATTTTTAAAATTTTTCAATATTTTATTCTTGCTGATTTGCCTAAATACATGTATATAGTTCATACATTTAGACAAGACATAAACTACAAAAAGTTGAAGAAAATTCAGTATCTAAACTTTATTAGAATTTTTGTCCTCAAAATGTTGCTCTGTGTCACTGCTGGAAAAGGTCACTGCTGGTGGAAGAGTATATATATATATATATATATATAAGCTAAGGAGAAAATTTCTTACAGATATTCAGGATATATCCTAGAGAAAAACATCTTTTGAAGTGAGCAGATGTTTGCGTTTAATGTGAAATACCTCATCCATTTTTAATATTACTAATTCCCCGTTGTCTCATTTCTTTAATCTAGGTAGAGTAAGCTCAAATGGAGGAAAACCAAACACAAGTGGTGAGAGAATTTGTTTTGGCAGGCTTCTCACAGACATCATCTATTGAGGCAGGTCTATTTGTATTATTTCTTTTCTTCTATGTGTCCACTTGGGTAGGAAATAGCCTCATTATGGTCACGGTGGCCTCTGATAACAACCTAAATTCTTCACCAATGTACTTCCTTCTCGGCAACCTCTCATTTCTGGACCTATGTTATTCAACAGTAACTACCCCTAAGCTCCTCGCTGACTTCCTTGATAGTGAAAAACTCATTCCTTATAGCCAATGCATTTTGCAGCTCTTCTTCCTGCACTTTGTAGGGGCAGCTGAGATGTTCCTGCTCACGGTGATGGCCTACGATCGCTATGTCGCGATCTGTCGGCCCCTGCACTATACCACTGTCATGAGCCGGGGATTATGCTGTATGTTGGTATCTGCCTCCTGGATGGGAGGATTCATACACTCCACTGTTCAGACTGTTCTCACTATACGTCTGCCCTTTTGTGGGCCAAACCAAGTGGACAACTTCTTTTGTGATGTTCCTCCTGTCATTAAACTTGCCTGTACAGACACCTTTGTCATTGAATTGCTTATGGTATCTAACAGTGGGTTAATCTCAACCAGTTCGTTTGTGGTGCTGGTTTCTTCCTACACCACTATCCTGGTCAAGATTCGCTCCAAGGAGGGAAGGCGAAAGGCACTCTCTACCTGCGCCTCCCATCTCATGGTGGTAACGCTTTTCTTTGGACCTTGCATTTTCATCTATGCGCGTCCCTTTTCTACTTTTTCTGTGGACAAGATGGTGTCTGTTCTCTACAATGTGATCACTCCTATGCTGAACCCCCTCATCTACACACTTCGGAACAAAGATGTCAAGTCAGCCATGCGGAAGCTGTGGGACAGGAGTGGACTTACTTGGAAAAAGCAGGTGACATAAAAAATTGAAGTGAGTTTTTGGAGAGGAGAAAATTTGAGGCTAAAATAGTAACTTTTTGACTAATGAGTTAGGAGATAGCTGCCTACTTGTTTGAGTTTCTTCCATTTTATTATCACAATTTCTGGCTTTATAATTAAATTGTGCACTGTTACTCAGAAAAATTCAATTCATGCTATGTATTCTGCTTTCCTTTATGAACAAACCTACCTTCTGTTTTTCTATTAGTTTGTGTTCTTTCATTCTGTCTGTTCACCTGATCGATTTTATTCCATCTACTCTTTCCATTTAGTTTTGTTTAGACTGATAGGACCCACTCTTTCTGAGTTCTTACCGCCTTCTCCTACACCTTGCTATGGGTTTTATTTTCTTTAAAATTTTAACTTACTCTAACCAGATATTGCTGTCAACTGAATAAGGAATTTACATGTATTTCTTATTCCCACTAAATATTTAAAGTATGTTAATTATATGAATGTAAGTGAATTACATTTATATGACCATATAAAGACAAGCTGATGATACAGAACAATTAGCTTCATCACCTTACCACACTGCTGACTACCACCCAGTAGTAGTTAAGAAAGCAGTTGCCTAATAACTTGAGTTCAACTATCTGTTTCTATTATAAGCCAAGTGAATCTGGTCAATCATTTAAATTATTGGGGCCCTAATTTGCTCATCTGTAGCATGTATAAAATAATCTCTATTTCTCAATGATGTGAGAATTAAAAAACAAATAACAAAAACAACAACAACAACAAACATCTGAATGTGCTTAGCCTGGTCTCTGACTCATAAGTGGAATGAACATTATTCCTTAAAATTTATTTTTCAACAACAGAAAGGTAAGATGAAATTTTTAACCAGTTGATTTACCTTAACAACAATTTTATTTACTCTCACTAGTTTGTGGAGGATGCTAGAAAGTATGTGGAAATGGGTTCATATGTTTTCACTCTTATCAATTATTGGAAACAGTTTATATTACTGTCACTAACATCATCAAAGAATACTACTGATTGTAACTTTAGCAGTATCTTTAACAGTAAGATCATATTCAATAGATCTGTTACTACATACTGAGTCTTTTAGATCAAAGACAGAAAAATCAAAATGACATTCAACCTTAGAACAAATTAGACACAAATAAAATATAAATCTGAAATATAAATGGAATGTGAAATATTTTAATTTAAAAAAATTTTTAGTAAGTTAATTATAGAAGCAATTTTAGGAACTAATCTGTTACAGAAACGAGAATGTTTGGTGAATACATTGGAGGTTGAGATTTTTTGTCTTTATTATCTTTAACACTAAAATGCCCAAAAATAAAATAAAATAGATACTCAAAAACTATGTAAAAATGCAGAAGGCTTTATTATTTTCTTTTGTCAATGTGGTATTTATTAGGCAAGACATATTTCATAGCTGTTTTTTTCCCATACTTGAAAAAATATCTCATACATTTTTATTGAAACACAGGAAACCGCCTGAGGTATTATAGAGGCAAGAATAGACTGAACTTTTTAAAAATAACTCTTAAGCTCAATAACAGACACCCATGCACTTATGGATGTATCATCAATGTTGTTGGAGAAGAGAGAAATCTCAGTATTGAGCAGACAATTAAATAATAGAATTAATAATAGAAATAACACTAAAACATGCAACTTTATCTATAGAAAGTTAACTATGGAATTAGAGAGGTCTTTATTCGAGTACACAGTTTGTACTTTAATTTAATAACCATACTACCAGAGGTAATTGAAAGTAAAATTTCTACAAAATTGAGATACAATTGAGACAATTAATCATAATATAGTCAACTGATTTCGCTAGAAATTGATATAATGAGGCTGTCTATTGCTGCTAGACAAGATACATAGGGAAAGTGATACTTAGAAATTTAAAACTATTTGAAATTGAGCCAGCGGATGGTATGAAGGTTAATGTGGCTTTGATCCCACGTAACCAACTGTGTGGTTGAGTCCCAGACCCTGCAGCTTGAAAATAGTGTTGGGTTTATGCCTAAAATTCTAAAACGAGAATGGTAGAGAAGGGATTGCAGCAGGTCCATTCCCTTAAAGGGTGCTTTCTCACTCCTCACCCCTGTCTCTATCTGTCTCTATCTGCCTCCATGTCTTATAGCACAGATTAAAAATAATAATAATAAATAAATTCAGAAACACTATTCAAATTTCGAGTAGGAAATGTAAAAATACATGAAATAAAGTCTCTTTTCTTGGGAAATGAATAGCATTATTTTTTTTATCATTTATTTACTTATTCCTTATTGGGACATGTGAAAATGTATAAAGAAATAGACATAACTAAATTATAAAGGATAAATAGGATACATATCTATATTGAATTATAAATAAAATATATTCTCAAGAAAAGGAATGTTAAAAAGTAACTCATTTAGATAAAATAATAATAATAATAATAATAACTTGTTTGGGACCAGAGAATGATGTGATGCTTAAGGTCTTGGACTCCTACATGGCTAACCACAGTTTGAGTCTTGGATCTAGCGGCTTACTTTCTCACTTTCTTTCTCTTTCTCTCTCTGAGTCTCTCATGTATGGTGAGCACACATGTCCTATAGCAAATTTTAAAAATAATAATAATAAAATTTTAAAAATAATACTTTCAAAAAATATCTTTTAATAAAAAATAATAACTTGTTTGGGGCTAGAAAGTGGGACAGTAGTGCGACTGACCCACAGGGGAAAGTCGCAAGTTTACACCCTGAGGCCTCCCTGTACATGTGGGTGCACCTGCATACCTGTGATCTGGGCTGGTTAAGGCTAGGAGCAGCTTGTGGTATGAAGATCCTGTCAGGGGTGACTGTCTCTCTCTCTTTCATTAAAATAAGGAAGTAAATAAACTTGAAAAAAACTGTTTATATATAAACAGTTACTCAGATATTGCTAACTATATATTTGCAATTTAGATTGCTTTTCAAAAATCCTTTTCAAAAGTTTTCATTTATAATATAACAGTAAATGCTATGAGAAAAGATAATCAAACTTATAATCAGAATACTCTGATATTATGCTAAAGATCTTATGTAAGACAATACTTTTAATGATTAGTACATTTAAATTTCAAATCTAGTACCTAATATTCCTGATTAAATATGAAGCCCCAAATTTTTACTTTTAATTTTATAATTTTTGTAATATAGGTTAGTTTATAATGAAATCACAATCTCTAAAATTTCATTCACTTAGCATTAGAAATATTTATACTTCTATTCATACCATATTACTAATATGCAATACAGGTCAGTAGTTGATTTCTGGTTATGGTAGTCACCAAGGGATCCTTGCTGAGGAAGGCTCCACCTCAATGGTGATCCATTATCTCTGGGGTAGGGAACAAAGCACAAGGCAAATCTCACATTGGCTCTTGAGTCTTCCCTTACAGTGTTGACAGAATGTATTATAGTAATAAATTCAATAATTTGAATAAAATGTAAAAAACTTTGAAAATATAATTGTTCAAAGTAGTCAGGCTTAGACAATCTGTACAGTCTAGGATTTCTTAAAAATGTGAAATTTATTCTTAAAGTCCTATTACAAAGAAAACTCAGTGAATTCTTGGAACATATAAGAAATAAATAACACAAATTGTTTAGATGCTCTTGCTATGAATGAGAATGGAACCAACTCCATGGCCCAATGGTAATGCACAGCTTGAGAGACACTGGAATCCACACAGAAAGTGAAAAAAGGCAGTCTCAAAAAGCACCACACTATAATTTCATTGACGTATCGTTCAAGAGTGAAAAAAAAAATAGAAATGAAAGACAGTTTAGTGATTTCTTGCTTTCCTTCTTACTCTCTCTCTCCTTTCTCTCTCTGGTGAGTGCACTCACCCTATGGCAAAAACAAAACAAAAACTGGATTAAAGGTACACAAGGCTTCGGTACTATACTTTGCAACATTCTGTGATTACATTTTAAATTAACAGCTTTTTATATTCTCATATATGGATGTTACTGATCATAAAAATTGATGATGTCCAAAGTCTATAAAATCAAAAACAGTATTATCACAGTAGCAGGCAAATGAAGTTATCCTAAAGGAAAAGTCGTTTCTTTCTATATTCTTTTATGTTTATGCAGATGTGAAGCAGTCCTGCTCTGGGCATTTTTCAGATATATCTGTCTTCTGATTGAAGACAATTTCTAAAAGTATTAGAAGTTTCACGCAGTTTCTTAAATAATTTAATTTTACCCAACCCCATCGTTTTGTTTGATGTTTCAGAGTCCATCTATGAGAAAATTTCTTAAATTCTCTGAACATTAACTTAGTCAAAACCAAGTTTAACTCTTGTTTAGGATTGTCTTTTTTTTTTTTTTTCTTGAAAGATAGAGCAAGACAGAGAGACAGAAAGCGATAAATCACCTCCTGGGGGGATGGCCAAACGGCAATCCCTTTTTCGCTCTTCTCTTGGGATATTCGCTATGCATGTACACGTTCTTGGCATGAGTTTCAAGCTACCAAGTCCAGGACTCGAACCACAGTCGACTATGTGGGAATCCAGTGACATAACCATTACACCATCTGCTGGTCCCTTGGATTGTCTTTATAGCATCCAGAAACATTTAAACTCTTAGTATAAGACTTGAATCTGTGGCATTCAAACACATATTTCTTAATAAACAGCTCCCCCAGGAGATACAAACAGCTTACTAAGAGAGATAGAAAGTTTACTGAAATCTACTTTGGGTACAAATTTGTTAATTTTATAACTCAATACATATTAAATGTAGTACTATAGCCTATATTTATACCATGAAATATTTAGCTATACCATATGGCTTTTTCCATGTTAAATTTAACTTCTATAATTGGATATCACTGGAAAAAAATTATTTATTTATTTATTTATTTATTTATTTATTATTTATTTATTTACTTATTTTAATTTGACCAAAGAGTGAGAGAGTGAGTGAGAGAGAGGAGAGAGGGAAAGTGAGAAAGCAACCC